CTTTTTTTTTTTTTTTTGATGAGGAAGATTGGCCCTGAGCTAACACCTATTGCCAATCTTCTTCTTTTCACTTGAGGAAGAGTGGCCCTGAGCTAAAATCTGTGCCAATCTTCCCCTATTTTGTATGTGGGATGCTGCCACAGTTAGGCTTGATGAGCGGTGTAGGTCCATGCCCATGATCCCAACCTGCGAACCTGTGCTGTCAAAGCACGGCACGCTGGACTTAACCTCTGTACTACCAGGCTTGCCCCCTGGTCTTCTTTTATTTATTACAAGCGTGTTCTATTTCTTCAAGCTTCAGAGTAGTTCCCATGCCTTTACTCTGGGTAGACCACTCTTCCTATTCATGCTCACTTATTTAACTCCTATTCATCATTTAGATCTTAGCACAAACGTCTTCTTCCAGACCAGGGCCAATGGCACTGCAATGAGCTCTTATAGTTCTCATAACACTTTGTTCTTTTCTTCAAATAACTTATCACCATTATAATCATCCAGTTATGTGATTAGTTATTTAATGCCTAGCTTCACAACTAGACTACAAACTACATAAAGACAGGGTGCGTGCTGTACCCCAGAATGTGGAACAGTGCCAAGCACACAGGAGGTCTTCATGGGAGCTACTCAATGAACATTTGTTAAATGAATAAACTTTTGTATTACTTTTTCAAGAGACCTTTGTGACCAAGGGTGAAGACTTTTCTTTAATATCAGAGTTTGAAACTCAATGAAATCTGCTTTTTTCAAAAGCTGTGGTGTATTACTTTATAATTATGCTGATTTGTTCCTTTCAGGTAACACAAAGTCAATGAATAAAACAAATTACTTTCCGGTGTCTAAATTTGTGTTCCTGGGACTTTCTACCTCTAGACCAGTGCAGCATTTCCTCCTTGCCTTCTCTATAGTGTTTTATGTAACACTTGTTCTAGGAAACCTCTTTGTTATGTTTACAGTGATCTTTGACCCTTATTTACATTCCTCCATGTATTTCCTTTTGGCCAATCTCTCATTTATTGATTTGTGTTTTTCTACATTAGTGGTTCCTAAGATGATTTCTGATCTGTACTCTGATCACAAAACCATACCCTTCCAGGGGTGTGTCATCCAGATATTTGCCCTTCATGTCCTGGGTGAATCTGAGATGGTGCTTCTCATTGCCGTGGCCCTGGACCGATATGTGGCCATATGTAAGCCCCTCCACTAACTGACCGTCATGAGCCCACGGATGTGCATTTTACTTCTGTCTGGTGCCTGGGCTATTGGCCTCAATCAATCAGTGGCCCGGTTAGCTTTTGCTGTCCATTTGCCTTTCAGGTCCTAAGGAGATAGATAGCTTTTAATGTGACCTTTCTTGGTTTATCAAACTTGCCTGCACAGACACCTACAGAATGCAATTCATGATTACTGCCAACAGTGGGTTCATTTGCATGGGCACCTTCTTCTTATTGATTATCTCCTGTCTTTATCCTGGTCACTGTATGGAAACACACTTCAGGGGGGTTATCGAAGGTCCTTTCTATTCTGTCAGCTCACATCATCGTGGTGGTTTTGTTCTTTGGATCATGCATCTTCGTTTACATGTGGCCATTTCCCACAGTGCCAGTGGATAAATTTCTTGCCATTTTGGACTTGATGATTACACCCATCCTGAATCCTGCCATATGAACACTGAGGAACAAAGACATGAAGATGGTAATGAGGAGACTGAATAGTCAACTCCTGAATTTGAGGAAGATCTCCTAAATAACTCACAAGAGTACAAGTTACTTTGTGCGTTTTCAAACAAATTCAAGTAACACTAATACTTAAATAATTATACAAAAATTGGGGTTATTTTCCCTGAAGTCATCATTTTATAATATTCAGAATAGATCATTGATTATGAGATTACATTGAATTAGCACATTATTTCTCTACTTAACAAGTTTGTTTGGCAACTGAATTAAAGTTCTAGGAAACGGTGATGAAAAGCATAGATTACAAACTTACAATCTGCTATGGCCTGAGATATCAGACTGTCTAGATTCACTTAATCAATTGAATTAACTTTATTCAATTTATTAAATATCTTAGAGCTAATATACTCACAATTTTGAGGGAACTATACTTTTATATTTTTTCTGTAAGACAAAAAGAATGTGAGAGAGGATTTAAAACTGGGAAGAAAAAAGAGCAGAGTGAGAGAACTGGAGTAGACAGAATATGGATAAGGCAGTGTTATAAGGGGAGATTGCCATATGGTAGGAGGGAAAACAAGAGAGAGAACCTCAGAGATAGTAGGTTTTATGTATTTGTGCTGTGACTACTACTCTTACCCTTGCTTGTCTCAATTCCTTTGGACTCAAGCCAATTCCAGTTGGCCAGGGCAGAGAAATTTACACGTGTCGCTATTCCACAATGTTTGAAATTATGATTTAATCTCTGTGACTTAATCGATCAATGAATGTTCTCTAAATATCAAGTAGATGTTGAGCTGATCATTTCATGGCTGATATTAGTATTATCCACCAACCACTCTGTCCAAATTTTTTGCTGACAATTATTCTCTAGTATCTTGTGTCTTATAACTCTTTTCTTGCTCAGGACATGGGGCCAAGTATGTGTGTGAATGTGTGTGTATAATCTGTAGAAATTGTGAGACTAATTTATTTATATTTTGTTTTGATACCTAGGAGATTGAGCCAAATTCATCGCTAAATTACGAAAGGACTCTATGTCCTGAGTATCTGTAATCCAAAATTCTCCCTGGATTATACAATCAGTAATATTTTATATTTTTCCTGCTCAAGATTATTTTTTTGCTTAATATTTGTATTTGTAATGGATTCTTCTTTGGTACATTAAATTAAAAGGGACAAATATAAAGTTAGATTTCTTTTTTTTTTTTTTTTTTA